TTCGTTGTTCTATGGTTCAGGTTGGGAAGTTGCACACCCTCCACCTGGCGTGTCGCCGTTGTTGACGGCGGCGTATTACTGGTACAGTACGGTGGCCCTGAGCAGGTTGCGGGTACCTATCCGAGTCGGGGCAGGTGATGTGGGCGTGTACTATTTAAAGGAACCGATCAAGGACATCGGAGAGGGAAGTCAGTTGGAGTGCTGGGTGGATGATAACTTTGGAGGGGCTGTCACCATCGAAAACTCGGGCGACATTTCAAGTCCGATCCCAGCGTACGTCGTATCTCTTTGTTTTTTCAAATTCCTCCCTTATGTTCACTCTGGCAGACTCGAAATAATCGACCATATGGTTACTCGCGGGTCTCACTATGTCGAGTGTGTGCTTATAGGAGATCAGGGTCAATCTGTTCCGTCCTTCAAGGTCTTAGGTGTTTTCTCAACATGACCGCCCGTGTCCACTTCGACTTGGTTCTGTCTTCGGCACATGAGAGCGGTGCTGGAATCAGCTTTTTCTTGCCTTCGGGGAGCGATGATGCTTCGAATAGACATTTACATAGCATTAGAATGTAGTTTTCGATGGACAATACCTTACGAAAAAGTACTACATACCACAGCCAAGCTCTGCCACGAGCACAGGCGTACATTCACCGTGGGAACATTATATGTCCCCGACGCTGACGCAGCTGCGGAGCGTTGCGAAGCACTGGAGGGCGGCAATTGCAAGTCAATAAAGACCGTCCTTGCATCTGTACCATACCCTCGAAGAACGACCCACACGACAAATCTAACGAACCATGGCAGGAAGAAGAGGTCCTCCATCGGGTAAGTAGAGCTGTATGCCTCTGCGTGACCCTATTTCCAACTCTCTGTCCCGTCTTGCACAGGCGCCCCACCAGCATATACATATGTGACGAGGGTTTATAAACGGAGTCTGCGACCAATCGTTCTGGCAAGTAAGTCTTAAGCCCGTCTTCGTTCTGTACTTTGTGACCTCATGCGGGTCCAGTGGCCCTTGTTGCTGCCCTATGGTCTTTGGCATTGTGAGTATAGCCATACGTTTGGACGGTAGATCAACGCTCATTATTCGCCTTCGTAGCGCTGTAAGCCATTCGTTGCTGAATACGGTCATTGTCTCATCCTCGATCCCGCCTCAAGGTGGCGGGTTACAGGGAACTTGCTACAGACGAAAATGGTGCGCCACAATCAATGAAAACTCTCTCCCAATTGCGCTGACAGATGATCAGATAACTTCCACAACCTTGCCCCGTTGGCAGCGGTGCAGGGAACCTTGTATACTCTTGCCTTACTGTTTCAGGGGTTTGGGATAGCGGCAGTGGCCACGGTATGCTCAGCCGCCGTGAATGAGGCCAGTCATTCTCTGACGTAGTCAATCAGCAACGCACCAGATTCATCAGGATGTTCACATACTTGTCTGCGCTAACGAGCTTGTTCGCAGTGGGGGTGTCATTCATGCGTGTTATCACTCATTTCACTTTCAAGATACGTGGTTTTTGGATATCCCAGTAAGTTGCTTATGCACTCACGATATCTCAGAGCGAATTGATCGCGGAGTGCGAGGAGCTCGCTGAGAATGGGAGTGTGGATTCGGTAGGTCGCAAGTCGGTGTGGTTATTCGCAAATTGGTTCATATAGCCCATCCTTTGGGGAGGCAGATGTATGGGTTCTGGACAAATAATCCGGGATCTAACCTCGATGCTACCGACGCGGCAACTTGTAAGTATTTTTCAGAACTCCGTGGGTGAGTGATTGACCCTGGGTTTACTAGATTGCAATGACGCATGGTCCCACGATTCTTGGGCTGAAATTCTCTTGCTTGTTCTACTGATCGGTCCGTCGTAATTTCACTGGTTAGCGAGATGTAAGTTTGGATATATGCTGACCCATTTCATGCAGTGGTTGGGCTGTTATTTACATCGACTGCCTTCGCATACTACCGCCAGGTGATCGACCCCACAAGTCCAGTCAACTCCTCCCGTACACCAGCAAACCAAGTGAGGATGGACGACTTCCCCGCTTACCATGCGCCGTATGATGCCCCTGCGTATGCGCCACCGGCTGGTCCACCACCATTCGACGGCGAAGGCAAGCCTCCTCAGTACAATTACGGCGCATACTCGTCCTTTGGAGATGACAAGGGAAAGGAGGAGAATCCCAAGAACGACCCGTTTTCTGATTATGTTACCCCGCCAATGCCCACTCATTGGGCAGAAGAACGAGACGTTACGTCCGGAACGTGAGCTGGTGCTCCGAAATGCACACGATGACGACTTTGTTTTTCTTTTCTTTCTTTTTTTCAACTCCTCTCATACATTACCTGAATGATATGAACGGACTCTCCCCTCGAGTACTGACTACGCCTAAATACATGTTTAGTTACCCTTACTACGACTTATGCGGTTGACAGCTTGACACCGTTGTTAACAGTTGGAAGTTGTATTCATTATGCCTCCTGCCAGAGCAAGAACCAAGAAAGTTCCTTTGAGCAGTACTGCAAGTGAATCTCGACGAGGCTTCTTCCCATTCTTCCAGTATGCTTCTGTCGTCGGCGTGCACGTTATTCTCGTTGGTTTTACGGCTCTCTACCTTCCTCAGTCCACTCGTTTGTTTGGACCCCTCCCGGTACGGAAGACCGACAGGCCTCAGTCTGAGTTCATGGAAGCACTCACAGCACGTCCCGTGGTGACGGCTGCGTGGACGCTTGCTGGGCTATGCGTTCTGCAGGTATGGTGGGGCACTTGGGTAAGAAAGTGGTATTTCGAGCAGAACGCGCACGGGACGTCAGAAGAAATTAAGATCACCAGAGCAAATGTCAAGGGGGTCTGGTTCGCGGTATGTCGTATAGGTTTCTTGCTCAGATGCATGGCGGTCGTGAGCTCTCAACACGTACCCCCGATTACAGAGACTTCGTGCAACAGTCGGGTTCGCCCTGCTCGCAACGGCGGTTACACACATCGTCATCGTTCTCTTTGGGGCACCTCTCTTAAGGCGTGTACTGTCTCTTGCACTTTCTAGTATTCGCGCTCCTGAGCACCTCTGAAGCCACCACCTCCAAACTGGTCTACTAGCTGCTACGGTTGCAATCTTGACAGCCTTCGTACCCGCTTTCGTATTTGGGTACCCCACCCTCGCGTCAGACACGCCGGCATTGGTTAACAGATTGAACTGGATCAGACTATTTGCTGAACTTTCGTGGGTCCACGACAGTATGACCCTCTCTGTTTAGGTTTGCTGATGGAATGCAGACCCAGAAACCCGGTCGAACGGATCGTGGTCTTCCCAGCTGTTGGAACTGTCGTTGGCGCATGGATCGGTGCTTTTCCTATCCCGCTTGACTGGGACCGTCCCTGGCAAGTGAGTACTTGAATATTCGCCATTGTAATAGCAATTTCATCGCCTTTCATATTAGGCTTGGCCATTGACTCCACTATATGGAAGCCTAACAGGCTATATCATTGCCTCGCTCGCGGCACTTGCCGTCAACTCTCTGAAATGGCTAGCGCAAGAGCAATTGCGTTCAGTACAGCCGTCTACAAAGTATAAAACTAGCTAAGGCCCCATCAAGTGGCGGAATAAATTATTGGGGGAGGGTATACCCAATGCTTGCTTTGTCTAGGCACTCTATGTCACGATGACTTCGCCAAACGTAGATCCGCGATAGATGGAGTGACGTAGTCGGGAACGATGGTGGATGCGTTCGGGCCAGTGATATTTTCTTCTGAGGTGACACCTGCCGCGTGTGCATCCAATGACTTCATGAGTAGCCCCGAGAATGTCGGTGGACTTCCGACGCACCAGTGAGCACGAGAAGAGTGGCAAGACCACCAGTTTGTCCGAACAATATATCGGTATTCAGTCTGTCGCCGATCATGATCGTACGCTTAGGGTCAAAGTGAACCCTACACGACGGCCGTCAATTATTCTCTCCGGATGAACACAGGGGTATGTACTTGGCTTGAATACAGTCTAACATGGTCTTTGCTGGTTTTCCCACACTGAGAGGGTCTCTGTTCAAAGCGAATCGTAGTAGCGCACTGACAGCACCGATTCCAGGCAAAAGACCGTGCGTGCTTGGGATGGTGCTGTCCTCGCTCGTTACCAAAAACTGACAACTCGGACCACGATGAAGATAATGGAATGCCTTTGAGAGCTTCGTGTAATTGATCGCGGTATCTAGGCCACACAGTACCGCAGCGACGTCTGGGTCTGGTGTGAAGTCGGCCAAAGAGAATGATTCGAGCGTGCAGTCCGCTGGATCCTGGCGCCGTCGCATGAGGTGCCCCGGGACGCGCCAGGGTAAATGTTAGGCACTAACCGTGCCGCCGACGTAGGACACGCCTTCGTTACGCAGTTCTTCCTCGAGACCTGACATACCAATGACATATACCTTCTTGTCTTTGGGAAGTTTCATCACCGAAGAGATGTACACTGCAGCTGCGTATGCAGATCCATATATTTCATCCTGGTCGGAGAATTTCCGTCATATTGGCACGGCCATCGATGGGAACAGATAAAATAAGCCGCGGGACCTACTACATGTGCTTCGATGCCGAGCTGATCGAACTTGGTTTTGTAGCTCCTCCGGGATTTTGTTGCGTTGTTCGTCACAAAGAGTAGTCGCTTCCCTGAGGTGATCGTTATCTTGGGGTTGGTGATACGGCAGTCGTGACACGGGGAGAGATCACTCGCCTCGTTTACGCAACATATCGAGGACTTGGACTGCGCCCTCGATAAGCCGGTCGCCATGCCAGAGTACCCCATCGCAATCAAACATCCAAGTATCGTATTTGTCAAGGAGGGCCTCATAATGCTCTGTATCAGAGAGTCTGACGGCCATGACCTTCTCTGACAGGCTCAGGATTCGAGTGACAGACTAGAAACCACAAATCGTAGATCGCCGAAGAGAATGTGCTTGAGGAGACTGATAAGTAGGGGGTTGTGTCATCTCACACTAGTAATTCCTTAACACAAACTTATAGCCCACTCACTTAGCTCGGTGGTAGAGTGCATCACTTGTATCATAGCGATGATAAGGTCAGTTGTTCAATCCAGCTAGTGGGCAGTTTGCACGTTCGAAGACACCTAATTTTCTTTTTTCTTCTCAATCTTGCCGCCAGCGGGCTATGATAAAAGAGCTCTCCCTCCCAAGGATGTACTTAAAGTCAGCGTGCTTGCTCGCAAATTGGTTCATGTAGCGCTTTTGGGGGGGCAGATGTATGGGTTTTGGACAAATAATCTGGAATCTAACCTTGATGCTGCCGATGCGGCAACTTGTAAGTAGTTTTCAAACTCCCGAGATGAGTGATTGACCTTGGGTTTACTAGATTGCAGTGGTGCATGGTCCCATGATTCTTGGGCTGAAATTCTCTTGCTTACGTTTCTCTGTCCACTCGTTTCTTTGGACCCCTCCCCGTACGGAAGACCGACAGGCCTCAGTCTGAGTTCATGGAAGCACTCACAGCACGTCCCGCGGTGACGGTTGCGTGGACGCTTGCTGGGCTATGCGTTCTGCAGGTATGGTGGGGCACTTGGGTAAGGAAATGGTACTTCGAGCAGAATGCGCACGGGACGTCAGAAGAAATCAAGATCACCAGAGCAAAAGCCAAGGGGGTCTGGTTCGCGGTATGTCGTATAGGTTTCCTGCTCAGATACAGGGCGGCCGTGAGCTCTCAACATGTACTCCCGATTACAGAGACTTCGTGAAGTAGTCGGGTTCACCCTGCTTGCAACCGCGGTTACAAATATCGTCATCGTTCTCTTTAGGGCACCTCTGGTAAGGCGTGTACTGTGTCTTGCTCTTCCTAGTATTCGCGCTCCTGAGCACCTCTGAAGCCACCACCTCCAAACTGGTCTACTAGCTGCTACGGTTGCAATCTTGACAGCCTTCGTACCCACTTTCGTATTTGGGTACCCCGCCCTCACGTCGGACATGCCGGCATTGGTTAACAGGTTGAACTGGATCAGACTATTTGCTGAACTTTCGTGGGTCCACGACAGTATGACCCTCTCTGCTTAGGTTTGCTGATGGAATGTAGACCCAGAAACCCGGTCGAATGGATCGTAGTCTACCCGGCTATTGGAACTGTCGTGGGCGCATAGGTCGGTGCTTTTCCTATCCTGCTCGACTGGGACCGTCCCTGGCAAGTAAGTACTTGAATATCCGCCCTTGTAATAGCAATTTCATCGCCTTTAACTCCATCGAATGACCTTTCTATGCGCTGATAACATGCGATAAGGATGGAGTAGTTTCATCCTAGGTAACAGCGATCGTTGGAGGGAGAACTGGGGCCATGTTTCGTCCAACGTTCGAATCGAGGGGAGAACTGTGGGAACTGATTGAACAGGTACGTCGCTAGGACGAGTCAGAAACCCAGCCGAGCAATGAGATATCTAGATTAAATACCAGCAGCAAAATTACCTGCCCTCGACCCGATGTCCTCGCCTCCATATTAGGCTTGGCCATTGACTCCACTGTATGGGAGCCTGGCAGGTTATATCATTGCCTCGCTCGCGGCACTTGCCGTCAACTCTCTGAAATGGCTAGCGCAAGAGCAATTGCGTTCAGTACAGCCGTCTACGAAGTATAAAACTAGCTAAGGCCCATCAAGTGGTGGAATAAATTATTGGGGGAGGGTATACCCAATGCTTGCTTCGCCTAGGCACTCTATGTCACGATGACTTCGCTAAACGCAGATCCGCGATAGATGGAGTGACGTAGTCGGGAACGATGGTGGATGCGTTCGGGCCAGTGATATTTTCTTCTGAGGTGACACCTGCCGCGTGTGCATCCAATGACTTCATGAGTAGCCCCGAGAATGTCGGTGGACTTCCGACGCACCAGTGAGCACGAGAAGAGTGGCAAGACCACCAGCTTGTCCGAACAATATATCGGTATTCAGCCTGTCGCCGATCATGATCGTAAGCTTAGGGTCGAAGTGAACCCTACACGACGGCCGTCAATTATTCTCTCCGGATGAACACAGGGGTATGTACTTGGCTTGAATGCATTCTAACATAGTCTTCGCCGGTTTTCCCACACTGAGCGGGTCTCTGTTCAAAGCGAATCGTAATGGCGCACTGACAGCTCCGGCTCCAGGCAGAAGACCATGCGCGCTTGGGAATGTGCTGTCCTCGTTCGTAACCAAAAACCGGCAACTCGGATCACGATGAAGATAATGGAACGCTTTTGAGAGCTTCGTGTAATTGATTGCGGTATCTAGGCCACACAGTACCGCAGCGACGTCTGGGTCTGGTGTGAAGTCGGCCAAAGAGAATGATTCGAGCGTGAGGTCCGCTGGATCCTGGTGCCGCCGTATAAGATGCCTTGGGACGCGCCAGGGTAAATGTTAGGCACTGACCGTGCCGCCGACGTAGGACACGCCCTCGTTACGCAGTTCTTCCTCGAGACCCGACATACCAATGACATATACCTTCTTGTCTTTGGGAAGTTTCATCACCGAAGAGATGTACACTGCAGCTGCATATGCAGATCCATATATTTCATCCTGGTCGGAAAATTTCCGTCATATTAGCACGGCCATCGATGGGAACAGATAAAATAAGCCGCGGGACCTACTACACGTGCTTCGATGCCGAGCTGATTGAACTTGGTTTTGTAGCTCCTCCGGGATTTTGTTGCGTTGTTCGTCACAAAGAGTAGTCGCTTCCCTGAGGTGATCGTTATCTTGGGGTTGGTGGTACGGCAGTCATGACACGGGGAGACATCACTTGCCTCGTTTACGCAACATATCGAGGACTTGGACTGCGCCCTCGATCAGCCGGTCGCCATGCCAGAGTACCCCATCGCAATCAAACATCCAAGTATCATATTTGTCGAGGAGGGCCTCATAATGCTCTGTATCAGAGAGTCTTACGGCCATGACCTTCTCTGACAGGCTCAGGATTCGAGTGACAGACCAGAAACCACAGATAGTAGACCGCTGAAGAGTATGTGCTTGAGAAGATTGTGATTAATTAAGTAGGGGTTGTTTCATCTCGCTCTAGTAATCCCTTAACACAAATTCGTAGGCAGCCCGCTTAGCTCAGTGGTAGAGCGCATCACTTGTATCATCGCGATGATGAGGTCGGTTGTTCAATCCAGCCAGTGGGCAGTTTGCACGTTCGAAGTCGCCTAATTTTCTTTTTTCTTCTCAATCTTGCTGTCAGCGGACTATGATGAAAAAGGTTTCCCGTCCCAAGCATACACCTACATAGGTTAACTGGTTACATTCCGACAGCGGTGAAAGCATGCATAAGAACACGTCTAGATCGTTAATGTTCGCATCTCCCTTTCATGGATCCACCCACGATGCCGCTGCCAGCTACCGGCTTCCATCTGCACCAACTCTCGCAACTCTCGCACGTCGAACGGCAGTAGCACATCCGCCTGCAATGCGCGTATGACATATGATCTACCGGGGAAAGCTTCAGTACGAGGTTTAGATGGCGAGGCAATGTGATACAAACATTACCGTGCTTGCCTTCAAGGGTTCGATTCGCCCACCCGTCCTTAGTTCAAGACGCATTTTATCAAGAGGCACCTTACGCTCGTACCACATCTTGTATGCGCGCAAACATTGTGGACTGGTGGGTTCAGGTATGCGGTAATCCCGGAAGGAAGGTGGCTTGGCGACCGAAGACCTGGTACTACTGCTTTTCTCCAAAGCTGTGGCATGGGGTCCTGCGCTCAGTTTGACAGTGCGCGGGTCAATGTCACATGAGTACGCTAAAACTTCGAGTTGCTTCCCTTCCTGGGCCACCTTCTCCGTCAGTTTATCATAGACCATGACTGCGCAGTGACAGTCATTTGCGGCATCTACGTATGGATGGTGAACCCACGGACCCGGAGCAAAGAAGTCTACCCACAGTCTATCATCTTGCTAGTAAGTTTTGCTTCCCAGTTTGAAGTACGCACGCTACTCTTGACCAGGGTCTTCCCGAGGTATCGGGAGACCATTTTTGCAAGACTGACCACCTCGCGGTTGTACAAGGTCGTGAACTTCTCGTCAGCTTTGGCGGCAAGGCTACCCAGTTCTAGAAGACCGCGTGCGCGAATCCCGAAGTCGCGATAGAGCTTTTCGCCGTCGTCTGTTATGGACGCTAGCTGAGGACCATACCCCGATCAATTGGAGGTCTCCACGTACTCTTTATATTGGCACCCGTCTTGACGATGTTTGGAGACTCTATTACTTCCTAGGCGGGTGTAAACATGACAGCATGGTTTTCTAGGAACGGTAAAACGTATACCAAAACTTTCCTTGGGAACCCTCGTGAACAAATGTTAGCATCGTTGTTACCATAAAAAGAAAAATAAGTCCTCACTTGCCATGCTACTGACTTGGATAAGCAGAATGGTACGGATGTCGCATAATTGAACTAAGGCGGTCCTACGCTCAGCGGCGCCCGCTTGCCACATGACGCGCCATTCCATATCGAAACCCAATGGGCTGCGGAAATAGAACCTCGCCATACAATTTCCGGTACATGTGTAACCCACCTTTCAAGGAACTGTACGAGATCGTTGGCTTCGTCTTCGCATTGCGTATAGACGACTGCAGCGGGTGGATTTCGGTAGTCGAGGTAGCTGTATGTGGGGGAAGTAGAACTCTTCGCTTCATTCAACGATTTGTCACAGGACAGGTTTGGCGCGATAGATAGCGAAACGGGTTCCATAACGCCGGTTTTTTCTGCGGGGTTCTTGATCGGCAAGGCCTTTGCTCGGGGAGAGGTGTCATGGGATTCTTCGGGAATCTGACAACCCTCTTGTTCAGTGGACTTTTTTGGACTGGTGGTATCACCATTTGCAGGTCAAGAACCATTATATCAAGGAAAGGACCTAACAACTCACAAATTAGTATTCATCTTATTGGCTAACTTGAAGGTGCGTGGAGGTGGGGGTTGGCGACGGCCTCGGTCCTTGTTTCCCTCGATGGCCACCGTGGAAAAACCCACAGCAGAGCATGATAACGTCGATTTGACCATGTTTTTACGATAGTGACGTCGGTTGGGCGGGACGAGATCCCATTCATATTTTTTGCTGGATGGCGAGTTAACTTCAACATG